GGAACAGGGTTGGGAACTGGGAATGGGAAAGTGGAAATGGAAAACTGGGAACGGGAACTGGGAATGGTGATGGGAACTGGGATTGCCAGAGTGGGAAAGGTGCCCCAGGAGCCCCTCCAGGCTCGTTAGCAAGCTTTAATTAGCACGGAATTAACGCGGTAATGGGGGGGGGGGTCGGCCAGGTCCCGGCAGCAGGAGGAACGTTGGGAATCTGGGAAGGCAGAGGGAATTCCCATGGAATGATCCTGGCACTCACATTTTGAGCAGGTCCCCGTCCTTGAGGATGTAATCCTGGTCGCTCTTGAGCGGGGAGAAGTGGCACACGCAGTTATTGACGGATATACTGGTGGGGAAGGCGATTCCTGGGAAAAAAACCTGGATTTGGGGAATGCTCTGGGATTCGGGGCGCTTAAAGTTCCACTGCCCCATCCCAGGCTGCTCCAACCCCAAAATATCCCGGGATCCCGGGATGGGATCACCTTTCAGGGATGGGATTTCCATTCCAGAACCTCCAAAGGGGAATTTCTTCCCAATATTCCAACCTAAACTTCCTTCCAGCACCTCAAAATTTGGGATTTGGGATCCTTAAAGCTCCATTCCACCCTCCTGGGACACCTTCCTCCTTCCCAGGCTGCTCCAATCCCAAAATATCCCGGGATGGGATCACCTTGCAGGGATGGGAATTCCATTACAGAACCTCCAAAGAGAAATTTCTTCCTGAAATCCAACCTAAACTTCCTTCCAGCACCTCAAAATTTGGGATTTGGGATCCTTAAAGCTCCATTCCACCCACCTTTTCCCAATGGATCCATAAAACCTGGAAGCTGAGGCTCAGCAGGGAGGAAGATGTGAGTTAAAACCATGGAAAAACTCGGAATTTTTCCTTCCCGGCCGAGAAGCTGCTCACCTTTTTTCATTTCCTTTTCCTTTTTGAAGATTTTCCCCGTCTCTTCCATGATCATGGCATCGCCCTTCTCGCACAGGCACAGCACGGACGCGCCGGGAGCCGCCGCCTCCACCACGGCACGCAGAACCCCTGCAATTCCCAACAAGAATTCCCAAAAAAATTCCCCAAAATACGCTGAAATTCCACACCGGGAAAGGCATAAAGCCCGCCGGAATGAATTGATTTGGGAATGGTGTTTGGGAAGAGGGAGAGGCACGCTGCCAAATTCCTCCAGAACAGGTTTGGGAATGGCTGGGAGACATCAAAGCCATTCCAAGGAATCCAAGGAATTTTCCAAAGGGATCCACGGGCTGACACAGCCCCAGGAAGTTTGGGGAACGCTCCACGCCCCAAAAAAAAATATCCAACAGGAATTCCAGCCTGCATCGTGCCTTCCTAGGGAAATAAGTGTCCCCAAAATATCCTGGGATGGGATCCCAAAATATTCTGGAATGGGATCCAAAACTATCCTGGAATGGGATCCCGAAATATCCCGGGATGCTGGGATGAGATCCTAAAATATTCTGGAATGGGACCCCAAAATATCCTGGGATGCTGGGATGGGATCCTGAAATATTCTGGGATTCCAAAATATTCTGGGATCTGGGATGGGATCACAAAATATCCTGGG